GACGAATGTGGGAGATAAATGATATAAAATAGGGAGGAAAAGAAAGGCGAATTATATTTGCGTTTTCCTACCAAAAACTTCTTCAGTCTAAACTCACTTGCCTCATGTATTTTACTCAAGTCAAGATGGAATAGGGCTAATTAGTCCTGCTTACTGAAAGCAAAATGTGGTTTTGAGCACTCATGTATATTGCCTGTGTAGGCGGAAACAGTCTAAATCCACAAGTTGCATTTAGTTAGCCTCATTTTTCCGAAGAATTTAGTATAAATAGAGACGAAGATTAATTTGGTTTTGATTAATCAACTAAGATAATACTAGTGGTTTGACGTTGATTTAGTAACTTCGTCATATTGACAAAAAGACCTAGAGGAACACCCCTTGTCCGGAGTCCATAGTATGCATGATAATTGCCAGAGTCGGACAATGGACCAAAACTAAGAGCCACACCATCTTGGTCTTCATTCATAAGATTAAGATAACATAGTTTGGGAGACTTTTATTCCGTATGAAAGTGCATGATGAAGAGATTTGTAGGTCGATCTCACCCGAAGACGATTATGTCCTAGAGAATGTAAATGTTAAGTGCTAAAATACATATCGGGTATTAATAGTCTAACCTTACCTTTTTATTCTTGTGGCTTCCTTTGCCTTGTTTAACATAGAAAAGCTTGTTAAAATGTCTTTAACAAATTATTCGTCTTATTTATGGGTATCATATTCTTGCTAGTTTTCATTAAACATTTCACTTTCTACTCTTCCTGCTTTTCAAGGAGTTGACGCTAATTTTATGGTCATTGGATATTTGGGGCCCAACTTCAGACAAGACTTATCAAGATGATCATGTGGATGATGATCATGATCATGATGGTTTACGTATCACCATGGCCCGAATCAACTAGTTTGTTAGAAAAATTCATCTTTCTAGAGACAAATAAAAATATATAAAGAGTCAAATTTCTTGCGAAATCACTCCTCTAATAGTCTTAATTTCCTAATTCAACTGAGAGTTTAATTAGGCCTGTACTGTCTGCAAAAGGTATATAAAAATTGTAAACCGTAATCTTTAGAGCTTGTGGTATAAGACGAAATATGCTTACCTTTCTATCTGTATGCAGAGAACTGAGTCAGACCTAAATTGCAGCCCATCCTTGATGAGAGGCCGCGTCCGAAATGCATAGAAAAGTATACCTCATAGACGAAATGGAGACTACTTTCGAATTATTATGGATAGTTTATGCAATTGTGCATGCGACACCATGCAACAAGAAGCGTATTTAATTTTTGGATATACATCTTTTGGAAGAGCAACGGATCATTTCATTATCAGGTCTCACTAGATCCCTGACACATCAGCTTATAGAAATGCATGATAAGTTAAGGCTTTAGGAAAAAAGTAATTTTATTAGAAATATTACCAACAAACTCAACTTTCATTTAAATGATGAGACTAAGCTGAATATTATAGCAAAACTATTTGTGCATTTACGGAGATTAACTAGAATATCGTCAAAATTCGCGCCAATGACTAAAACTAAAATTACTGGGACAATAGATCTTTTCGTATGTAAGTAGAGTTTCGAGACTACCAGTAAATCAGTAATATGAGATGTATTCATTTTATTTCGTTTAAGGTGATTAAGGACTGGTAGTAGAGTTTTCCCACAATGATATGAGTAGAGCTGATGTTTCCATTGAATTTCACAGAACCTTGCTTCCCAAAAGTTGTTCTCATCCAGGCAGAAGTAGACTGCAGTTTCGACCTCGCATAGGTCTTATCAACACCCCCAGTGTGAGTCGAACCGTGAAGGTGCAGAATATGAGCTTGACACGTAACAACTCTGCCACATTGCCACGAGTGCCCTTGGGTCACAGGGAAGATGTCAATTTCAAGGAAGGTCAGGCCTTATCCTATATGTTAATGTATCAAGCTCACATGCTGCATTGTCACAGTTCGACTCTCGCTGGAGGTGATTTACTGGTAGTCTTGAAACTCTACCTACATTCCAAAAATAAGTGACGTAGTCGATTGTTATAGCAAATATACGTTTGCTTCATCGGCACTCCCACCAAGGAATATGATATAGCAAAAAGGCCAGATCTTCCTTCAAATTCACCTATGTCCTGTGACTCAAGGGTACTCGTGGCAGTGTAACCGAGTGGTTAGCGTGTCAAGCTCCCATCCTGCATTGTAGCGGTTAGACTCCCGCTGATGGTGTTGATAAGACCGACGCGAGGTCGAAACTGCAGTCCACGCTGGATGAGTACAACTTTGGGGAAAGCAAGCCATGTGAAATTCAGTGGAAACGTCAGCTCTATTCATATCATTGTGGAAAAATTCTACTACCAGTCCTCCATCACCTTAAACGAAATAGTGTGAATCATCTCATAATATATATTTTGCTGCCTTCCCTTTAAGGGAAGCGATGCTTATAGCTGCAAATCTAGGCCGGTAAGATTAATTTATTTAGACCCCTAGAATATAGGCTATGCCTTACACTTCTTAAAATTAGACGAACTAATGAATATTCGTATGGCACAAGTGTATTTGTAAGTGAAGGAAATTTCCCGTATTTCCTTTTAATTATGAGAATAAGCGAAGAATATGTATCAAAACTAACATCCAGAAATCATGTGAATCAAATTAACCGTTTCGTCATGAGAGCTGCTTGAAGAATATACCTCGGAAACGTATTTTTGTCCTTATAACCTGATTTACAAAGCTATCATTGGTATTTATCAAAGTCTATCAAAGCAGCAATTGGATTGGTATAATCTCTTTCATAATTTTGTCAGAAAAATAGGGAGCCCATATCGACTATACCTAAAGTTATCGTTCAGAAACTTGGTCATATGAAATAGGATATAGGGAAGTA